TCCATTTTCTTTTCCTTTGAGAGCTTATTATATTTATCATTGCTGTTGTTGTATTTCTATTCAGTTTCTTAACTCACGAAATGTATTTTAGTTTGAACTGTTCGAACTGAAACCGTCCGCACAGAACTATAAAACTCTATTAAAGGGATAAGAATGTGGATAGATTAAATATTTATCATAATAGTAACACGGCTTTACTCTTTCAAATGTAATTCTCGGGACTCCCTGTTATGGTATGATTAGTCCCGTAAAAGCATTGGCTTGTTATACACGACTACAGATGGATATATTCCAATAACATATGTATTTAATGTATTGCTTAAAAGCTTTAAATTTTTAATATGAAGATATAACGTGTACCCTAACAATCTGTTATAATAAATAAAATACTTTTATTGAAATTGTGTGATAAGACAATATAGTGATAAAACTCACTTTTAGGGGTTATATATGTCAATATAAAATAATGTGAGTTATTACGATTATGAATACAAAATTCATTATGTGTAATAAAATTGCTGTACTTAAAATATAAAAAATAAATATTCATAATTAATAACGTAACACGAGTAAATTATTAAACAAACAGAAATGACTTATTAAATAACCAAATATAGATACAACTCAATTCGTTTAATTTAACATTCATATTAGCTCTGTTGAATACAATTAATTATATTTTACGATGTATAATAATTTATTAAATTTCAATGTATTTTTTTTATTTTATTTTTTTAGGAATATAATTGTAATTTAAAAGAGAACATTGAGATTTATTAAATTAATTCATGATAAAAAAATAACTTATTTATGTTTATTCAAAGATCGAGATCATTATTGTTTTGTTATTTGTGTTGAAAGTCTGATCTAACTGGATGGAATCGAGTTTCAAGATTAAATTGTGGTCTTTATTTGTCAGAACTCATTAGAAAATAATAGAAAGTCCACCAAAAATAAATATAATAATGGTACTTTTTTTTAAAGAAAAACCTTATTAAAAAAAAAAAATGTTTATGGATAAATGAAGTTTCAAAGTTATCTATTGTATATGATGGTTAAATCAGATTTTTTTGTTATCACGAAAAAACATTTTCTTTATTCTAAAAATAATAATTTAAATATTCGTTTAATGTGAAATACATTAGTACAATTCTATATTGCTAAAATACAATTTTACTAATTATAGAAATCGATACAGTCATATTATGAAATAGAAATAAAAAAACGTTAAAATTAAAAATTAAATTAATACACTAATAGCATACGTGTAAAGTATATGTAAAGTAATTTATACTCCTTATGTTTACTAATGGTTAACTGAAACCTTGACAAACTTAAAAGTGTACAGATAATTATTACTTTAAATTAATTTTCGATTGATAGTAAATATCTATGTATGTTTAAATATTGTTTTTATCTTTTATCTGACTTCTCAAAAATGTATTATTTACAAATAAAAAGTGTATACACGATTGAATTCGATTCGAATTAATGATCATTACGATTCTTAAAAATGCTTTCAGATCAAAAACTAAAAATTTTCCATATATTAGAATTTGTATTTTATTACATTATTTATAATAAATACAATTGTTTTCCCGTTATTCTTTATGAATGGTTTCAAACTTTACAATATTTTATAAATTATATTATATTATTTTATATATTTTTTTTCTCCGTTTTAAATCGATGACCGGGAGAGAGGAACAGATATAACATTACACTAATATCTGCATTGCGCTTATAATTTTGAGTTGTGAAATTATGTCTCGTCATGATTGATTCTAAACTACTTAGATATCGTGAATTATTTTTCACTGCACGTAAATAATCACGAATGAAATAAGCAGAATAAAACCAATTTTGTAATTTTTCTTTGTCGTTGGAAAATAATTATTATTATACAATAATTACTGTACAAAATTAAAGCAGTGTCCTTTGATGCACCACGGAACAATAAGAAATCAATTATGCCCATAACTATTTATTTTTGTTTTTAAAATATGTTCAAAAAAACAGTTTTCGGAAGCCTGATCGCTCTCTATGCCATTTTCTACCGCGTTTCACTTGCAGTGTACGACCAATAATCAAAGCTGCGTACTACTATCACGCATGAACTGCAATTTAATTTGTAAACTTATATATGATGTGAATCCATTTGAAATAGTAACACACATTCAAGATCATAATTTAGATGCAGGGAGAGGTAGATTTCTCAAAGCCTTATCCTGCTATTTAAATGTTGATAATTTTTGATAACTATCATGTTTAATATAGGAAGATTATGTGATAAAATATATTAAAAAAGTGGAACCTAATAATAATTAGTGGGATCTATCAGAATATATAGATATATGGTAATATGTTTATTTAGATATATGGTCTTGAATGGCCGAAATCAAGAAAGAAGAAGAAGAAGAATGTTTATAATCGAATTAAGTAATATTACGTTTGATTGCTTCCTGAAAAGAAACTAAATAAATAAATGCCTAATCATTTCAATGTACAACAATATTTAAAACAGTTATAAACATAAGTTAATAGTAACCAACTATAATATTGTACACCATTCTTTATATAGTCTAAAGTTGCCTGGGAGAAGTTATGAGGTTCACAGATTTTAACTAAAAAAAAACGTTAAACATTCTCCGAGCAAATTCTTAATTACGCCACTGCACTCTTTACCTCCCTGACATATTCGTTTTAACTATCTAAAACTGTTTTGTACTTAATCCTTATTACACTCGCAGTATCGTTACTGTGTTGTATAAATATATATTGTAACAATAGTAGTAGACTAATTTAATATTCATAGTTAGACGGCGCGCTAGTTAGGCAAAATACGAACATTAATGCACAGCTGGTCGAAAATTATGTATACCCGCAAACAATGTGATAATATTTATTGCACTAGGTACAATTATAAGTATTATGTATTATGTATTATTATCATTATTTTCACAATCGCATTTTATTGTTTACGTCCATTATACATATGACTTTTGATTTATTACAATGCATAATTATGATTATGTTCATCCGTATTGTTCTTTCTTTTTTTTATCTGTAATGAACCGTATTGAGACGCGCCACCGCATATCTTCACTTGCATCTTCAATAAACTACGGTCAAAGCTTCGCAATGTCATATATACATAAAATCCAACCAGCGTCACATTTCATTTGATATATATAACTAAATATATTAACCATTTTTTTATTTTTCACTTTTCTCTCTCCTTTTTTCTTTCTCTCTTCCTATATATATTTATAACTTATTTATCTTACCGGATTTTCTATTATTTTATAGTAACGCCCTCTTATCTTAACAACGCATCAATCCGCGGGTCCGTTTTAGTATATTTTATTTGCAATTAATGGTCTATATTTATTATTGCTTAGCGCATTCAATTTATATTACTATACCTCACCGATTCATTTGACTCCATCTTTGTACATATTTTTTTTTATATTCGAAAAATAAATTGATTCTTGTGAAATTATTTTAGAAAACTTACGTTTGATGTACGCGAATCGCTTTTGCAATGATCTTAAACTAAAAAAATTTTCATAAAAAAAAAACATAATTGAAACTATTTTATGTAAGCATTGATTGTATGAATATAAAATTTAAATAAAACAAAGTTATTTTCTATATTTTTTAATAACTAACATACAAAATATTTGTGTATATATATATACAAAACTAGATACGCGTGAGTTTTGAAAAAATAATGATTATTTATATATTTACTTGTATTTTGAAAACCTAACGAAAATTTTTATTTTTTTAAACCTAACATTCCTGTTAAAAACAAATTATAATAATAATTTCATATATAATATTTGGTTCAATAAAAAGGTCTGTTAGTACCAAATGTTCTTTTAAGAGTGTGGTAACGAGTTTGTCCTTTGGGACTGAGCATATTATCTCTATTGATTTAATTTTAAGCATTTTATCTTCGACCATATAATACGCACAGCATATTAAAAATTATTTTAAATTAAAATTTTGTTTTAAAAGTTTCACACATAAATTACTTATATTATAATAAAATTTGCTGCATTATTTAAACTATGATAAACTGTACCGTAATGTGCTACAACACTTGATGTATATATATATATATATTTGTAATTTATGTGAAGCAACATTAAAAGTGTGTATTATATTATGTTAGGTTTTATAATTATTAAAATTCGCACTTTTGTACTTTATAGAGATACATTACAGTTCATTAACTATTATATGGAACGCTAAAATACGTTGTATTAATAAACAAAATATAAAATATAAGTTTAATCGTACAAGGAATTATGTTGTCGCCAAATTTTATACCATGCAAAAACAATAGCAAGTACATCTTATGTAAATCAAAAACTCATTATAATGATTATGATATATTTTAAAAGGATTAAAAGGCGTTAAAAAAATCATTTTTGCAGTTGGATAATAATTTGACAGAAAATATAATTCTAAATAAACGATTTTATTATTTACTTTCAATTTTTCAATTCATTTTCTTTGTTAAGCAAACAGTTATTTTTTAATTAATTTTTTTAAATCAATAAAAATTATGTTTAATTAAGATATTTTTTTGTGGAACTTTTCAAATTTTAAATAAATTGTCATTTTTTTTAATTTGAAGTAAATGCATGTATTTTTATTATTTTATACAAGTTTTGAATAAATCAATAGAAGTAATTCTCACTATTAACTATATTCTAATTATATTCGAAATATTTTGGTAAACATTTATGATTTACTGACACAATAGTCAATCGACTTCTAAGCCACTTGATTTTCTAAGCCCCATTTACTATTTTTGTGTATCTCATAAAATGCATTTAGTTAAAAAATTAATGCGTTATGAAATAATTTCTATATTTTTATATGAACTTGATTTCAATTCTCATTTTCAGGTATAAAAATATATAGCTAAAGAAAAAGAAAATTTCACTTGTTCTAAATAGATTGTTTTTTTTTTTTTTTTTTTATAGAAATCGTAGACAGCGTGAAGAGCAAAGAAAAATGCCTAAGACCTAGCGTAGCAGATTTAAGCTGCGACGAGGAAGTGGGTGCATTAATGAAACGATGTTGGACAGAAGATCCAGCGGACAGACCTGACTTCACCACACTCAAAGCTGTTATACGGAAATTAAATAAGTAAGCCGATTCCGATCGTTTATAGTTTTAAAATGATGTTTTTGTTTTTCAATTGATAATTCCCGTATACAGTGAGCCTCACTTCTACGGCGTTATACAAAATTACAAACGCACTACGAGGCTTTATTACAACTTGACTAAACTTTCAGCTTTTATCTCTCTTGTGTAAAATGTACAATTTGAAAGTTTCGCATCCCTCGTGCTAAACCCTTAAAGGACTAAATTCTACATGAGTCACGTCTATACATTTCTAAAAGGCTAATGGCTATCATAATCTAAGCGTTTCATTGCATACTTGGAAATCAAGCTTGAAAATTAATCAATATATGTATATCAATTATTGTAAATTACTTAATTAAAAATTAAAAGTGACCATTATGGATTTTTATTTATAACTTCATTTGACGTATGTAATATATAATTTAAATATTATACCAAATTCAGTTTAACTTCTTAGAACTACAGCAGATTACCCTCAGAAATATATAAAACAACGTTTAATTTATAACGATATGCTATTCTGCTTAATTCATCATTATAATCACTTTTATTATCATATTATCAAATTACTTATTAATTTATTTGATAGAGTTGTAGAACATCTGCTGAACATCATATTTTAAATTAGTGGTATTTTTTATGGATAAACATACATTGATTTATTGAAAATAAACTTCAATCGTCAAATATTTACTATAATATTTAATAATATGTATAATGTTCATAATTTATCTGGTTATCGGTAAAAATTAAACAGTTATATCTCGAATTACTTTCAATAAATGAATCTCATTTATTTTCTTGAAATATTTTCCCGTGGCGATAAATATGTATATATTATATTATTTAAATACACATATATATAGGTACTTATGTATATTTTACATGCGTTCTCAAAAGAACCAAAAACTACTCGTATATCATTATCAAACCTAAAAAAAATGAGAGATTACATGGTTATTTTGAAGCATGCTTTTTATACGCATTGTAGGTAGTAGGTAACTCATCAAAATTGAAATTGAGTAGCTTAGAAATTGAAGAGCCTTTCATGAAAATGCGTATCTCTTGTCACTTCGGTGAGATGAAATAAAAAATTAACCTCATTTTCTTCGCTTCACAATTTTTACTTATTTATAACAATAATCCGAACGGGAATAAAGAGGTATTTTCGGATATTTTTTCTTTTCAATAATTTTTTTTTTTTTACTCTACTAACGATAAATCATTTTTAGAGTTTAACATTGCTACTTCGCATCACGTGATTTTATTTTAAATGTTATTAAAAAAAAAAAAAAAAAATCAATAAATTATTAAAAAGTATTGTAAGTTCAAAAAACATGCAAACCTGTTTTTGATCCATTTTTTAATTATTTAAATTTAAATGCTCATTATTAAACCAAAAAATAATAAAAAAATATCGAAATATATCAAACATTGTTTCACATAATTATGATATTATACTACTTAAATGGCCATCAAATTATAATTTTATAATTACCAAATTATAAAAATATATACTTTTAATATTCTAATTAAAACGTTAAAATTTTATAAAAATACTCCTTTGATCAAAATCATACAAATAAAACATTTATAAAATCTCATCTGAATCAACATAATATAAAATTTAAATGTTTAAAACATTTCATCTTTTATAAAACATTTAGAACATTTTTTTAATTATTATTTTCATAAGGCCGTAATATAATATTAAAAAAGAAGTTTAAATTATTGAATCAAATAAATGTTATGTAATTTGTCAAATCTTATTGAAACCCCGTGTATATAATTATCTACGTCTATTGTCGCATCATAAATTTATAATTTTACCATTTGAAAATCCATTGACATTCTTTCTTAACTTGTTCGAAACGAAAATAATTTACATAGTTCTATGTATTAGACAGAAACAACTCGGTATAACATGATCGCTGATTCGCGGTTTGTTAAATTTTGTTACTTAAATGATAACTACCAATACATCCAGGATCAATTTATTTATCTGCACCTTAAGACTTCCAATTAGTCACGAGTGAAAAATGCATGCCAAAGTTCAATGACATATTTTCATAGGGGGAGGGAGACGATATTTGAAATAAATGTCTATCCCTCGTTCAAAAGAAAAAATCAGAATGGCCTACATCATATTTTACTTTAATATAGTACGTTTTATACCAGCATATACATTTTCTAGTGATCTCTATAGTGAGTATAGAAATAGTCAATACAGACTTCGTATCGCAAATATTAGCAAAGGCATTTTTCATTGATAACCTCTCCCTTTCCAGTTCTCTTTATTTTCTCCCTCTATATTCTCGATGTCATTAATAGTATTCTTCTAATTTAACGATCGTCAACATAGATTTTTCCCAATGTCTACTTCAATAGTTACACTATGTTCGGTTGGTCTTAACTTAAGACTAAATTTCTTCATTACACTATTGCACTACTTTAATTACTATTTGAATAAAATTATTTGTTACTTTGTTTAAAATATTAATAAAGAAAATGAATACTACCAAAATACAAGTATACAGAATAATAAAACACGTATGCACTGCATAATTTAAGCTTCTACATTTTCTCCAGCATTTCGATTAAATTGAAGTAGCTACATTTCTTTTGAATTTAGTATTATTTTTCTGTGGAAAAATTATATTTTTATATTATAATATTTATAAGCGTTGGAGGATAATTAAATACAACTTTCTAATCTTCGTGTGCGTAGTGTTCAAATTAAATTTTCAAGTGAAAATATTCCTCGTTGCAATAATCTCTTTCGTGTGAGTTTTATGTCAATATCCGGGACCAAAAGTAAAAACGACTTTCGAAATTAAATTAATAATTCGGTTGCTGACGAATTAATCACTTTTCTGTCCCCCACCCCTTCGTTATTCTGAATAATATTTCATTTTCATCCACCAGTCAACATTTTTGGTCACGCAGATTGATATTAAAAATCTGCTGCGAACGGAAAGTAGATAGTGGATTTTCCGGCATTTTTAAATAAATTACTAACCATGACAAGACGGACAAATTATCGTGGTTTTTGGCTAATATATATATATATATATATATATACATCATGTACATTTATTCTTTTTTTTTATGCTTTACAAGATCGGAATAGCTTCAAAAGTCACATACACTACTATATAATTTAGTCTACGGTGTCGCAGTTTTATTAACTTCTTTTAATCTACGCACGCGATTGTAGATTAAAACTTGCCATGTGCAATAATGCATGATTTAAATTATGTACAGAAAAAATATTATGACAACAAAGCAAACACACAATTTCGAATACAAATTCATATTTTATTCGTGATTTGACGGTTAGTAAAATTTAAAATATTCAAAAAGTAGGAAAAAGGAAAACGTTTTCGTATCTAATTAAAATTCTATACATGAAATTAATGAATTATTTTATTGGTCGTGGATTATCATTTTTTTTTTTTTTTTATAAAATACATTATTAATGAGGCTTTTATTTTATTATTCGATATAAATGTTTGTAAATGTCGTCAACGTACGCATCAGTGTTTTACTCTAATTTAACGTTTATTAAGTATGAACAATTATACGGTATAAATAAATAAATGAATAAAACAAAAATTTTAAAAAAAAAATTTTACATTATTCATTCACAGCGATTTCCATAAAATAATTACCAAATATTTACGATTATTCGATTTTTTTTTCACACTTAGAAGACGCGTACCCAAACTTCATTTTTTGTTTGTCCTGTGCTCTATGCAATACAAGTACACGTTACAAAGTAGAAATATTATATATAAACGTATATGTTCTTAGGGTTTTCGATATTATAACATAGCAGAAAATATGAGTGAACAGTTATTTAAAGGACACATTGAAAATTAAATATTTAAATAACCGATGAGACATTATAAATCTTGCGTTTAACATATTTCATTCACTATAATATATCAAACAATATAAATGGGGTCAAATACCATTTACAGAAGAATATTACCTTTAATTTTAATAAAGTATCAATATTTGATCATTTGTTCAAGTCCGGTTAATTATAGCTGAATACCCCGAGTGAAATGTTCAAAATATATTATAATTAATGACCAATAGTAATAAAAATAAAAATAAAAAACTATGAAATTAATTATTAACGTTTCGAGGTTTTTATTTAAGCACTTTATAATATACTCTTAATATACTCTTTCGGTTCGTTATATTAACCTACAATTTACAATCTTGGTGTTAAAATAAATTAGGTTATATCTATTTATAATGTTTGTAATAATTATATTGTTTATTAGTAAATTAAAAGTTAGGCATTTATATACGATATTAAACTAATTTATGTTTTTAGTAGTGCAAAACAATGTGTTGTAGTTTTTAATCATAAAACACTTATCTATCATTTTGAAAAAGTCAAGTTCAATTAAGTGTTAAATCTGTTGAGTCAAAAATATCGTAAATAATTACTTTTTATTTTTTATTATTATTGAATTATAACCTGGAGACTAGAGTGATCGTTATTATTATTATTTCACGATAATATGCAACTAATCTATAGATTTATTGTTTGTCTACTTGTATAGTTTTTCAAAATTAGGTTCCTTATTTATCCTCAAATAAAATAATTAAGCTTTCAAAATTATATTTCCAAAATTATACTATATCGCAATCATTGATTAATTGAACGACCACCGACTTAATCCACGACAATACCCGCCTACTAGTATGCAAATATTATTATAAATTGTATTCCAGTATTTCAGTGTATTTCTTTTTTTATTTAATAACATAGTTCACATTTATTTTAATGTATTCAATTTACATTTGTTATTGTTGAATTATTGAAATTGGAATGGTAAACAAAAAAATTTAACATTCATCCAGCATTGAATTTAAGTATCATTACAACTTGAGCTTGTGCAAACAAACAAAGTAAACCCTTGTTTGTGTTTGTGACACGTTACAAGTCACTTATTAAAATATTTTTACGATATACCAAAAAACAGTTTGTTTAAGTAATCAGTTTTTAAATCTTTATATTATGCTTGAGATAACGAATAATCCTGTTTGAATGAAAGCTTAGACTATTTTTTCAGGATCGTATGTGTTTTCAAAAAATAAATTTGAGCTAAAATTGATATTTTTCATATGAATAGTTTAAAATATTATAATTTTTTTGTTACTATTTAAAATTTAATACTTTTTACAAAATAAATGAAATCGGTATGTATTAATTATAAATTTAAAACTCAATTTAAGTTGTAATCCTATAAAAATGTATGAAATTAAAAGTAAAAATAGTGTTAATCTATTTGATTATTAAAAAAATATTAATTTTTACTTTGAATCTGTTTCTGACTTACTGTAATATGAATTTTGGTGTGATTTGCCAATTATTTAATTGCATTCTACACGATTCTTCATAATTGATACTCTATTGTACAAAATCACAATCTGATACTATTATCCTATAATGTAATAGGATCACGATGAATCAAACGCGAAAAATTGATGGCTGGTGAATTGATATTATAATCAAATTTGTTAATGGAAAAATTATTTAAATTTTAGTTTATTTATTTTTTATTTTGGTATATTGGTATTTTGGTTTATTTCCATAAACATTTTTCTTCCATTCAAATTTTTCATAATTTTAAATATAACCGATACAAATTTATTTACTTTTTCCTTTTTCCATCATTTAAAGAAGTAAATAATTTATTTATTATATTTATTTATCGCCACTCCGAGTAATATTAGTCAGTTAGTTAGACAAAATTAATGCGATTGTGAGAAACCAATGCATAGTAATAATAACTTTAACATTGATAATCATAATTGATTATCAATGATAAAGTTGTGTTACAACAGACTTTACTTTATGGGCTATGAGTATTATAAAGTATTATAATTATATATTACATTTTCACTGTACTACTCAAACGTATAGATACATCTTGAATTTTCAACCATTTTGAAATCGTTTACATAATACATGAATAATTCATAATAATTATTATATTGATTAAAAAAAAAAAAATTATTTGGCAATCAATTAGCAAGGTGGTAAATTTTACCCGCGATAAATTTGATGGACGATTAAGTCACAAAAACCAATTCACCACCGGTTAATATTTAACCAAAATAATATCTTTGAAATTGTAAATACAAACACGAATGCTTCCCTCATGGATTATTTTAAAACATAGAGTTTTAATATTTTATCATGAACTTGTACATGAAAATAATCCCTGGTAATATCTGGCTTTGCTTTTTTTTTTTCATTCTTCGTATCAAATGATGCTCGAAATATTAAACTATCTACTTCTAATTATTTTTCGCTTGTTATAAAAATTACGAAATTCTAAAAGAATACTTTTAATAAACAACTTGAAATTATCGACGACATATCAAATTTTTGTCGGTTTCATCGAAAGTTTTTATTTCAATTAATTAATTTATATGTTTACATGTTATACTTATCATTGTACGATAAAACTATGGACAAAAATATTATGTTACGATAATAGTTATTTCCTTTTTTTTCTTTCCTTAGGGATTACGAAAGCAACAATATTCTTGACAATTTATTGACCCGTATGGAACAATATGCCAATAATTTAGAAACATTGGTCGAAGAAAGAACTGCCGATTATTTGGAGGAAAAAAGAAAATGCGAGGAACTTCTATATCAATTACTTCCTAAGTGAGTACAATTAATATTATCGTATTACAAAACTATTTTTGAACGATTTAATTACTACGATACGTCCAGTGACGTAATAGTTTATAATATAACTAATAAACGATGACCGAATGTGGTGAATAAAATAATAATGCATTTTAATCAATCGCGTGGTTTTATAATAATCACGTTGAATGATGGAAAAAATGTTTCACTTGAAATACCTTGTCATTTGTTTTAAAGGATAAATTATTTTATTTTTTCTTTATTCATTTTGTCAACAATTAGTTGTATTATCACAGTAAATTTTTTTGAATAATTTTGTACTTTGTCTTTTAGTTTTTTTAGTTCTGAAACTTTAAGACTACAATACTAAACAATTTAGGAATATTGACTGTTATCATTTTTCTCCCACAACCTTTCATGTATTTGGTGCGTGGTTGACATGGGCATTCCCAGAGATATTTTTAATGGGGGGGGGGAATTAATTTATAAAATAACTGAAGATTTTTTTATACATTTTATGTTTACATTATTCTTTTTCCTCGAATATAAAATATACGATAAGATAAAATAAGCCAAATAATAAAGTTTTCTTCTATGTATAATATATATGTTATGTTATTTTAAAGTAATCTATGTTTACTAAATTGGCGCGTTATAGATAATGATTTGGAAAACAAATTTTGAATTCTAAGAGGGGGAAGGGCAAGTTCCCCATCTTATCCCCTCTCTGTGGACGCCCATGGTGGTTAACGTTAAAAATATATAAACTACATTTTTATATCTCGTTAATGTGTAAATCTAAAAGTTTTTGTTCAATTGTTCCTTAAATTATAAATTTTACGATTATTCGTTGATATTTTTATCAGTTATATTTGTTGATCACTAATATTCGCAGTTATTCTATAAAATCTATAATATTAGTATTAAATAATTATAACAAGTACATTTTTTTTTTCACATTTAAATATTTATTTGCTTTAAAATAAAATAAGTATTGAGAATAAAAGAAAATTATATAAACAAATATATGGATTATTAACTTATCTCATCTTTCATGTTTTTTAAGCATATACGACTTTTTATTTTATTTATAAATTATACTATATTAGATACAACATTAAATAGTTTAGCATTTGATAATGTAATACAGTTTAATAATTTTTTTTTTTATATTCCTGTTCTGATTCGTTTATAATGAAATTAATACGCGTGAGTGAGTTAAAACACATAAACGTCTTCATTATTGATTAAATGTATACATTATCAACTATTATATTATATACTTACTTCGGCAATAAATTCAAATATTTAATGAATTAAATACTTTATCAAAAAACTAAAATTTATTTATAATCAACGAAGTAAATAATTTATAATAATAGAAGTTTGGAAATGATTGAAATCTTAGACTATTATAGCGAAACATAGTAAGTGTAAATTAATTTACATCTAAAACCAATCTAGTAAAAGCCTGATAACAAACTTCTATGAGTCACGTGCTATTTTCGTACTGAATATATTATACTCACGTAACTAATTAATAATGATCATGTTAAATAAATCATAACCAATCTCCAAGGTTTACTATAGTTTATAGATTAATATTCATTTAAGAGTTTGATCAGATCGAATACGTGACACAACAGCTCTCGTTATAAAATCGAAAACCTACAAACCTCCATGTGTTCCTCAACATTTCATAAATAATAAAGAACGTTATCTACTCTGATGTTTTATTTATTGTTAAACATACGATGGGAATTTATAGACAAAAAATGAACAGAAAAACAATTTAATGTATACCATAAATAATTCCATATCTGTTTTTTTGTAATGTTTCTATTAGTCGTGGTAATTAAGAACAGGCATTATTTAATTATACGGAAGTACAATTTTTAAGATGAAAAAAAAACACGGTGTTCACGTAGCGAGTTTGCAAAGTTGTTGATAAAACAAAACCAATTACAAAAGTATTAAATCCGCACTAATTTTAATATAATAAGGCAGTACACAGTAAAGGAAAACATAAAATATTTTATTCAATGGATATTATTTGTGTCATTTTTCACTTATTATAATTATTATTATTGTTATTATTATTTTGTCATTATAAATATTGATTTTGTATCTATTACCCAAAATTAAATTTCAAAAGCAATTAATGGTAGTAGATTGAAAATCTAAATCTTCCATTAAGTTAATTTTTTTCATGAACAAAAAGACATATAATTTATGTTAGGTAATTTGTGCCGTACTTAATGTTGGAAATCCTATAATTAAAATTAAATTTTGTTGTGAATATTAGCAGAGACAAAAATAAATAATATCAAATAAGCCAAGAATGAATAATTATACTAGCAGATTAATTGTGTATTATGTTTATAAATGACAATATTTTCTTGCAATTAAATCTTGCAAGTATAACCGTACATTTATCTTGACGACACTTAAGATAAATAAATATAATCTGTAAACGCTGTTGTTGCAAATTAAGCCTAACATTGTAATGTATGCAAATTGAATTACTTTTTACCATAAAAGTATATTATATTGATCATTACAGATACTCGGGTAGATAAATTTTTCACTTCATAAAATTTAACACTAAATTTTGATAACTTGACTAGAAAAAAATGTCATCTCCTAAGTTTTAATTTTTTTTAAATGTATACCCGCTGTTTATATATATTTACTAGCTAATTTACCCAGCATTGCCCGGTTTAGTTTTTAATTATTTTAGTAACTATTTTTATTATTTTAAAATACAAATATTTATCATTTTAATTTTATCAAGACTAATTGGTGCACAATATTTCTGGTTAACCAATATTTTGCTTACACAGATTCCATAGTTTCCTTATACATGAGCAAACCCTATACATTTTATTGGAAATTCTGACGGTATGAATACGAGGCTGGAAGAAAATTTCTCCTTTAAAATGTCCACTTAAAATATTTGCGTTAAAAATATTTCCGGTAATTTTTTGATGATAATGTAAAATTGTTTGCATGTAAGATAGCGTGGAATATCGGCAAATAATAATGTTTGAAGAAATTGATCAAAAACATTAGGTTTTTAGTTGCTCAAATGCTCTTTAGAGAACTTTTCTTCGTTGAAATATACACGATGACCATTTTTAAAATACACTGCAAAGTTATAAGCTGTTTTTTCTTTACCTTTTTTCTCGATATTAGTTATCACAAACGTTCTTCACGTTGTTTATGAGATACTTATTCGTACTTGCCCTATTTCTTTGAGCTGTGTTTTTTTGCCACGATTTGATTGGCCAATTGAAGTTCTCTTTCAACATGTTTGGGTCATGCCTCTCTAGTACTCCACTTGTAGAGATAAGATTTTTTTTTTTTTTGTTGCATTAAAATAAAATATGAATCATAAGGAAAGAAGCACGCAAATAATACTTTTTTGTTTTTAAACGTTTTTGGCAGTTCAGTTTATTGTCATCAAGATAATACTAAGATTATCAATAAACTCACTCTACCATCATATGTTAGAAACTTACAAAACGTACACATAATTTCAACTTTTTGTCCTTTAATAAACATTTATCAAAAAATAAACAATATTAATAAATATCATTTAAACGAAGTCACACTCGCGAAGTTTAATATCATTAAAATCGGTTAATTAGTTTGGCATACAGTTTATTAATTATGTTCTTGTAACCTGTATAGAATATCATCCGCCATATAATTTTTATGCTTTCCTACAACTATCGAAGGTTTGAAAGTTCACATTACGCTATTAATATAGTAAAAAGCTCTTTCACCTTCTACGCTAATCTCTATTGATCAGCCTCTTCCAAAATTACATTCAAATGATTATCATTCTGTAATAAATCTCTTGTAATACCTGCTTCTCAAAAATGCATGTCGAAAATTTTTGATTATTGAGGTTTTTGAAATCTTTGAAAAATGTTTTTTACTAACATGGACAATGTAAACTCGACCAAAGTCATCTATAGATTTGATACCAGCTAATTATGAACAAGAGATCCTTGAATTCGGCATTTCTAATATATTCCTATTGTTTTCTAAATGTTATATCCCTCAACATACAGAAAAGGTGTGGCGAATTCACCACATGTCGTTTTTTCCTGTGCATCCGAATTGTAGCTGCATCTTAATTGGGTCCCGAATTAAAAATTACTACACTAGTTGGGTCCCAAATTTTTTTAAGTACTACACTATTTGAGTCCCGGATTTTTATAAGTACTTCACTAGTTCCTCAATATTTTTTGATAGTACTATATACTAACATTTCCCTACCCATTTTAACAGACTTAGGACTATCTATGATTTATTTAAACCACAGGTATAGTTAAAATGTTTTTATAGATTTTTTTTTTTTTTGTTATTTAGTTTCTTTTCCATTAATTTTTGTTTATATTTTATAATGATTTAACAGTTTTAATATTTTTACCAACACGATTCTTATAATTTATATTTTAATGGAAAAGAAACTAAAAAAAAAAACTATAAAATACATTTTTAACCATACTTCTGGTCTAAATAGATTATAGACAATTCTAAGTCTGTTAAAATGAGAAGGAAAATGTTAGTATAATGTAGTACTTACTAAAAAAATTTCAGGAACTTGTGTAATACCTAAAATAATTCATTAAACCGTATAGAACCTATAAAAATCCCGGATCCAATTAGTACACTACCTGCAATTAGCCCCTAGTACTCAGGACCCAACTCAGATGCTCCGCGAATTGCATGCCAAAAAAATGAACATAAATTGGAATATCCGAATTGCATGCCATCTCTTAAAGGGGTCTGTCCGAATTGCACGCTATTTACCTCCCCCATGTTTGTTTATCATGCACTTATGTGTATAATTTAAACTTTATTTTTGACTTACCTAATTTTTAAAAAAGACGAATGAATAGAAACCGAATAGTTTCTAGATTAAAATATTTTTATATCCTAGTGAAAATTTTACCAAATTAAAGAAGGTTTAAAGGATACTGTGAATATTAAATATTAAATAA